CAGCGCGAGCTGGCAGACTCAATCATCCGCATGGTGCCGCTGGATGAGATACGGATATTGCTCGCCTGTGGAGCCAAGGTTAGGATGTTACTTGATGACACAAGGAGACTTAGAAACCTAAGAAGCAAGAATATGAGCAATTAAGAAGAGAACAACGACTCAAATTACGGATGATTAGCTGTCGCCTGCAACTCCGTCCGCCCGGAATAATAAAAAAAACTTAATTAGTGGGCTATATGTTCTTCCAGACTATGTTATATATGTATGCTAAATTTCATCGGGATCCGTTCAGCCATTCTGGTGATATCTCCAAAAAACATTCCATCAATCCGTCAGTAAAGTCCTCGTTTGTGTGAATGTAGGTAAACGAGCCGGTAACTCAGGGCTTGCGGCCACTGCATTACGCCATCTGGCAGCGCCACCTGGAGGCAACCCGGTTGCTGCTGGTGCGCGGCGGCGACGTCAATGCCCGAGATGACTGTGGCTACAGCGCGTTGCATCTCGCCGCGGAGCACGGGTATATCATTGTACAACTTGCTGGTCATAAGCTCTCCCAGATCCCATCCAAGATGCTTCTAATCTCAACATTTCTCATTTATATGACTTTAATTATCAAAAGACGTAGACTCATAAATTATTAACTTTAAAATATCGTCACTGATGTCTATGGTCCGGTCATCGGTGCATCATGTTGCAGATCCTAAACTCTTTGATTTCATGATCATAAAACCATCAATTGCATTTATGTTATGTTCTGTTTTATCTTAGATACACGGAACTGGTCCGGCTGTTGCTGCAGAGTGGCGCAGCAGTGGACTACCGCGTGGACAGCGGCGAGCAGTTCCCGCGCACCACTCTTTGCGACGAGCCCTTACGACTCGCTATCAGGAACAAACACTATGTAAGTATACTACTGTGCATAAATTATCCAGTCGAGTAAAATCTCGCATATGGTCAAATTGACCATAAATTGAGTAGAGTAAAATAATTTAAAACGTATCAGACCGACACTTATGATTCCCTGTAGATTTCACATAACGAAGAATCCTGCACTATTCTCTTCTCTTGAAGATGTCCCTTCAAGATTTTTTTAATAATTAATATTTACGTTAATAATTAATATTTTTCAATGCTTATTTAAATAATTGGTAGGAGGTGGCCCGCCTACTTCTGGAACACGGTGCGGATCCGAATAAGCGGTACTTCTTTGGCGCTGAGATCAACTTGGTGTCAGACCCGGAGTACCTCGAGCTGCTGCTCTCGTTCGGAGCCAACCCGGACTCCCGCGATCGCGCCGGTCTCACACCGCTTATGAAGGCTGCTAGACAGAAACGGGTAAGCTTGCAACACAAGAAAAAACAATATCTGCTCACGATTGGAATCAATACCATCCATTTATACTTGAATATATTGCAGGGTATAGAAGCGGTACTGCTACTGATCAGTCACGGCGCTGACGTCAACGCGATGGCCGACGCCAGAAATGACTATAGAACCGTCATGCATTATGCCGTCCTAAGTGGTAATTGGTCAACACATTTTTGCTTAATACAAATATAGTTAAATGCTCCTTTTCTTATTACTGTTCATTTTGTTACACCAAAAACTACCACAACCTTAAATAGAAAAATATTTTTGTATTCAGGCAACCCCGACATGGTGAATCTGTTGATCAAGCAAGGCGGGCGCGTCAACTACGAAGGCGTGGAGCTGAACAAACCGAGCGCGCTCGACCTCGCCATACTAAAAGGAGATGTTGCCATGGTGCAGATGCTTATGTCTGCCGGTTAGAATTCTTATTTTTTAAATATTAAACCAAAGCTTGGTTTTAATTATTTTGCCATATTATTAACTGTATAAATCTTACCATTTCAGGAGCGCATGTGAATGCGTCCAGCTCAGTGATTGGGTCCCCATTACATGTTGCTTGCTCAGACAATATTGACAACAGGAAAGAAATTGTTAAAGTGAGCTTTCTCCTTTATTACTATTATTATGCTTTAAGTTATTAAAGATTGTACTTCATACAGAAACAATGAAGATATCCAAAGCGTCGAAAATATATAAATTTGTCAAAATTTATGAATATTGTACTAGGTCTCAGTTGTGAAGGCTTTCGAGTTAGTTATTAATTTTAATTAAATAGTATAAAAATATTTTTTTCCCCAAAATGATACATATCTTCTTTCTCTTGCTAACAGTTGCTGCTAGAGAGCGGTGCGGATCCTAACCTCAAAGTACTGAACGAGGAGGATGGCGCGCAACTGCGGCCTGCGCTAGCTGAGTATCTGGCCAGCAATGTGGAGCCCAGTGCTACCATCGTCTCATTGCTGCTGCGCTATGGTGCCCGCGTAAGTATTATACAACAGCAAAAATTTCAAGAAGACAATTTTTATAAATTTCTTAAAAAAAATTACGACAAATTAGTTTGTTGAGTAAATAATGAGTAGTTATATTTTCCCATTTTTATGAATACTGGCAACACATAAGTAATTCATCTTTATTTGTTTGACAGTCTTGTCTTTGCACATGAGTAGCGGGAATTCCCTCATAATACGTGAAGTGCTAACTTGTTTACTTAAATAACGAATATCTGCTAAGTTATCCTTCATACTGATATATCTTTTTTGGCAAAAGAAAAGCTAAACATTAGCCAATTGCTATCTTTCAGGTTATAATGAAAACGCAGTTTCGTGATCCCGATGGCATTCTCAATCACTTACAGAATATAACCTCTGAGCAGTACGAGCACATATTCTATCTACTTCTAGAAGCAGCGGAATCCTTTGATCTCTGCATGATAAAGAGGAACTCCACTCTTACTGCTGAACAAAAACAAACCTTAATCGAACGAGCTAAGAACCCTATTTCCTTGTTAGCTCAAACAAGAATATACCTACGTAAATATTTCGGTACTGATTTGGTGGATATTGTGAAGACTTTGGAAATACCAGCCATTCTCCACCAATACCTGCTATTTGAATGTCGTTAAAAAGATTTTATTATTAATTTGGACTTAATTTTTTATTGGCTAAAGATTTACTTTAGTCAATTTTTTAATCTGGCAGCATTGGTTGCCAGATTGGGAGATAACTCCACGATTTTTGGGAGAATCTCATTCAATTCGAAATAATTGACGTATTGCGACAAAGCTCGATAGGAGTAAATTGATTTTAGTATCGATTTTATTGATTAATGTAAGCCTTTATTTTTGTTATGTAAGACTATTTAAACAATTATTGTAATGAAAATATACGACATAATATAGACGCACTCTATATTGGAAGATATTATTTTATGCGCAGTATTTTTTTATTTGAAAATTTTTAACTGGATTTGCAACTTAATTAACGAAATTAATTAAAAATCATATTAGCGATTTCAAATTAAATATTTTATTGTTTATCTATAATAATTTGTCAGTTAAATGAAATCGAATATGAATTTTTATCCAGTTAAATTAAAAATGTTTTGTTTGGTACTACTGCACCGACGGCGGGGCAGCAGCGCGGGGGACACTATTACAGACCCCACCCGCCGCTCCGCGCGCTCTTCACTCTGCATCTACCAGTTGCGCCACGCCATTCCGCCCGACGACATACATGTCAAATCATATTTGTTTTTATAATTCTTTGCATTACAATCATCAGCAACAACCAGCTCTTCATTACATCATCATACAGTCCACTCGCTCAACATGTTTTTAAGCTGTATTTTGAAAAACATTTTTTTAATAATCATTAAATGTGGTGTCATAAACAATATTAGATTTTGTAACATTAAAATAAATATCCAAGATAATTACAATTTGCATAGTTTAAGCTTTTAGTAGTCTGATTGCATACTTATTATGTGATATATTGTGATACATTTTAGCATTAAGACTTACTTATGACTGAAACATTATAACAAGCATATATGTATTTGATTTGTCTTAATTTAAGTATAAATAAATGTGTGGCATATACATATCTTTTATTTAACACTAGCTTTAGTTTATATTTGGCAGTATTTTAAAAAATAAAATAAAAAGTATAGTCTACTCAGTGATTATAGCTTTCTAATGGCAAAAGAACTTATGAAAACATCCAGTAATTTCTGTGATTATACGTTACATACGAAAATACAAATCTTTCCTCTGTATAATATTAATATAAACGATGTGTAAATCCATCTTAAACAAATAATTTCATTTTTAGCCAACGGAACCCCAATTATTTGTAAATGTGAGTTTACAGTGCTCAAAACATATCACATAAAATTTATTTTTTACATAAATTTAATAATCAACGAATTAGGTAGTAACGTATTTAGGTCACAAACCACCCGGTCAACAATTTTGTTGTGAAATTATTTGATATGGCCTTTTAGTAGCCCTGATTGATGGTTTTGGTATTGATCAAATTTGCTAAAAAAGGGGATGTTTAAAAACATTTTCTTCTGAGTGTGGTTAAATTACCACTTTACTATTTTATCTACCAAATAAGCTTGGTCCTAATCTAGTTAATTTATAAAACCAGCACCCAAAGAGTATATAAAATGCCAGCACCCGTCAAAAAATTAGACAAGATTTTGATAGTTTTTTAAGCGCTCGAAAAACATTTTCGATCCGAAATCAAAATTAATATTTTCTCATATGGCAGCACTGACAACAATGACTTTGAGTTTTCACTTGTCAAATCATTCCATTCCAATAACAACTGCTTTGTAACCTGACTTAAGAACTTTTGTGTGATATTTCTATCGAATAAAGTAAATTGCAGTTTCTTTATTTCGACATTAACGATGGCAGACAAACAAAAGGTGGATCTCGGTCTCTTGGAAGAAGACGATGAATTTGAAGAGTTTCCCACCGAAAGTAAGCATTTGTTTGACAACCGACGTAAATAGTATTTGAGTTTGATATTAAATTATCTTTTTTTATCAGATTGGGGCACTGAGGATGCCGATGATGAGGAAGTATCAGTTTGGGAAGACAACTGGGAGGACGATGTTGTTCAAGACGATTTCAATCAACAATTAAAGTAAGTATTTTTGGGTTATGTATCGCGGTATCTCGTTATATTAATTAACTTTGTGAAAAAAGATACTTTTTTTACTCAGAATATTATTTGACCAATCTACAATATTTTCCGTTTTTTTAAGGTTTTTACAATAAATATTATTTTCTTTCAGGCAACAATTGGAAAAGCTGAAAGAGAAAAACAAAACATAATTGTCTTAGTTTTAGAGTATCATTTAATTTTATGTTTATAAATTGTTCAACTTCAAGTAATGATGATTTCCACCTCAAAATCAATGATAGGATCTTCTCTTAAATACAAAATTAAAACATAAGATAAAAACATTTTGTAATAACTTCTGTTGTTTTATTTATTATTTTTGAGACTGGAAAGTCTTATAATATCTTTATAGCTGTAATTTAATTGTATTTATTTAACATATGAATGAGTTGTAATAAGTACAAAAAGGTTTTATATTCATTGATAATTTAGTGTTCCAAGGAGGTTATTCTGTGAAGAAAGAATAGTTTTTGTTTTTTGACAATTCACTTACGTCAAATCAAATAATTAGATATGCACATAATGGATAAATTACAAATTAAATAATAATAAAAATACAAATAAGATAATTAACATAATGACAACAGAAGATATTGATGACATAGAACTGATTTTGGATGATCGAGAATTATCTGAATTTGTAGAAATAAAAAGTAAGTATTGTCTTTTCAATTTAAAACAATGTTTAATAATAATAAGATTTTTAATCCGTTCAATACATTACAACACTTATAACACAATCAAAAAGAAAAATCAAAAAAATTACAATGAAGTGTTGCAATGCAGAACAGATAGGGCCTTTGCTCAGCTGTATGTTTATTACCCCGGGGGCAAAAATTAATTATTACTGATATTCTGCAAAAGCCTTTACGCCCTCAGTACGTCAGTTACAGCAATTAATAACATAAATGAAGTATTACCTACTACTAAATATTCCATTCGCAGTTTGAAAAGCGGGCCAATGTTTCAAGGGTAAATTTGATATAACAACCTGTTTAGTGATTTCACAACATATTTATGATCAACCTATTAAGATTTTACCATTATAGTACTTGTAATCATTACTGACGGGTGCTACACTTTGGATGTAGGGAAGTACACACAAAGGTTTTGCCCTCCTCAATGTACATCCCTATTGATACCTTAAATTGAGAATTATGGTGCAAATTATGTGAAATTACGAGGCATAATGAAATTACTAAATTGACTTTAATTTTATTATGGTTTATGTTACATGTTTTTTTTTATCTTTAGAAAGTAAAAAATACATAATTGGTGACGTGGATCAATCTGCGCTGGAGGACGATTGGGAAGACGATGTTCCCGACATGTCGGAAAACTTCGGGAAATCAAAATGCGATAGATCCATTTAGCCCTTATTTTTATACATTCTAATTTAATTAACACAATAAAATTCCGTTGATTTGGCAGAATACATGAGCAATGAACAATCTTTATACTAGACATGATTTTTTTTTAGTAGCAATAGTCATCTTACTAATGCAAATGTTTAAAGGTATCTACAGAATGGCTGCATGGACTTCACTGATATTTGGCATAGATGTAAAGCATAGAAAGGTTACTTATTAAGGCGCGGATAGAGTGGTGGGTAACAACTAGTATGTAATAAGTCAAACCTCGGGGAAGCGAAAAAACTATAAGCAAGTCATTGTCTGACTTGCCCGGTAAACAATTAGCTCATAATTGTCTATTGTTTCGTAAGAATTATCATAATCAATGGAAAAATATAGTATCATTAGTAAACAAATAAAAAAAGACAATATTATTAAATTGTTTAATATCAAAATTTACATCTAAAAACATATCTTAATACAATAAAGGAATTTTAATATCACATTTATGTTTAAGACCAGCTTTTAATAAATCAGTCGACGGAAAGTATTGAAAAACACTATAAAATATTGATCATACATTTATCCAAATATTATATAAACATTGTTATAAAAAATTTAAACCCTTTTAACCATATTTTTAATTGTAAAAACAACCAACAAATGGTTTAAAAAATAACATTGAAAGCCAAAACATGGAGAGTTTTTACTACTGAATGTCCTACAAAAACAGTTTTAGACAATAACAAACCAATATATAAAAGATGTTCCATTTAAATTTTTCTTACTTTCTAGTTTAATTTGATTTTTGATACATTTACTAACATTTTTTTTTAATTGTTCAAAAGTTGAAGTTCCGATTGTCGGCTCCAGATCCGAACTGGAATTCCTCTTCTGTCTGCTCGGGCTGTGCCATCTGGTCCTCCTGGTCTATGAAGTAGTTGTCCAGGATAAAGCAGCATTTCTTGAATATCTGTAAAATAGCATACCAAATAAACATCATCATCATCATCAGCTCACTATACGTCCCCACCGAGGGGCTCGGAGCCTACCCTAATTTAAGGGTGATTAGGCCATAGTCAACCACGCTGGCCAAGTGCGGGTTGGTTGACTTCAAATAAACATACTATACTAATATTATAAATACGAATGTTTGGATGGATGCATAAATGTTTGTTTGAAGGTATCTCCACAACAGATAAGGGTTGTGCGGAAATTTGGCATAGATGTAGAACATTGCCGGGTTACGAATTAAGTTTTTTTTTAAACTAGCGCGGAGTCGCGGGCGGCAGCTAGTTATTACAAAAATACGATACCTGTTCGTTTTCATGTTCCTGTAAAGCTTCAATACGGTCAAGTGCTCCGATCTCCTCCAGTTGTAGACAGAGGCGCTCTACCTGACCAAACTTGGCCGCAGTCTGTTCCAAACAAATAAAACAGTTATTTTTTTTTCTTATATTAAATAAGCTAATGCTTGACCTCAATGCCTAAGTCTTACAACATGTACTTGTTGAGGTGCTTAATCTTTATTTACCCAGTAATGGTAACTCATTGGCGTCGCCTGAGATGAGAGAGGTGGCAATGGGGACATTAAAACTAGCCTTCCCGTGCGGAATTAAAAATAGTATGAAATAGCTATAAACTACTTAGAAATACTAAAATATTTATCTATTTGTCAGTTCCTTCCATTCACTGACTTATAATGATTACCTTTGGAATGAAAAAAATATTTTTTCCCACCTGCTAGATCTAGTCTAAGCCATCAGCTGACAATGCTTATGTAGTAAATAGTACCTGCAAGAAGTGTGTAAGTCCATCCAGTACGACAGTAATAGCACGCTGGTCTGGTGAGCCGAGCAGGGCGCAGAATGGCTCGAGAAAGCCGACGCTGACCAGCGCATCCAGCTGCGCCGGAGACCCGCCCAGACATAAGTTTGTCACCGCCCATGCAGCTTCTTTTTGACACCTAATGCAATAAAAAGACTTTTTATAACACAAGCATTAAAAAAATTCTTAATAGCCTATGCTCTATTTTAATGGAGAAATCTATTTTAGTCTAATTTTATTTAAATCATTGTTGTAATTTTTAAAAGGTTGGAATAGTATAAACTGCCTTTCCTTATTTCTTTATCAGCCAATTCACTATTTTCTTAGGGATATCTTTTATCACAAATTCCATCTTTTTTCGCTCGCCCTCTATCTTTGTAGCCATCCACATTTAATTACATTATTTTATTATTGACATAATTTTTTTTCTACTAGCTATCGTCCGCGACTCCGTTTACGCAGAATAAAAATACTTAATTCGTAATCTATGTGTTCTTTCAGACTTCTACATCCATCCATCCAAATGTATTATCGTATTCATGCGTAAGATAAGGAAAATATACTCACTTGACGTCATCACAGGACAGGACGTACATAAGATGACCGAGGATGCCCTTGTCGACAGCGCGCTGGATCTGCTGCTGCGTGCCGGCCAGCACGTTGCTGACGGCCCACGCCGCTTCCTTCATTAGCGAAGGCTTGCCGCACCGCAGCAGTCCAGCTAAGTAGTCCAGCGTGCCCGCGTCGAGACAACGGTCCGTCTGGCGATTTTACAGATTTTAGTAACACATTAAATTTGCAATACATTTAGAGCTGTGTCGTAACATATGTTATATGGATTCGACATCCTTTATTTTATCTATATTTTAGACATTTAAGGCTCAACAGATGAACCAAATCTAGTGAGGACGACTGGAAACTCAATAGATGAGATGCGCTACAGCATACAGTGGGAGTCAGCGGTGGAGTCTATTTGCAGGATTCGACTGGGACAGTCAAATGCCTTTGAAACATGAAAAACAGCCTGTTTGTACCTGGTCATCAGAGCCGGTGAGCATGTTGCCAATGGCGCGCAGTGCGGGTGTGCGCACAGCGGGCGAGGCGTGGTCCAGCAGGCGCACGAGACGCGCTAGCAGCTGCGGAGTATTCTGCACCGCCTCGATGCGCTCGTTGGGCCCGTCCGTTAGGTATGACAGCGCCCAGCATGCGTCCGCTGACCATCATTACCATGTTTTAAAACATGTGTTACAGCAGTGGAATTTCAATATTAAATAATTGTTTTTATTATAAATACATACCGAGTACATCTTGGTCCGATATTTCTAGGAGTTTTGACATGTAAGTCAACGCCGGGGCAACGTACTCAAACTTAACTAACGGATTCTTATTCCTGGAACAAATTGTATTTGAATTATAAAAAAATATAAGTTAAGCATTTGATTGGTAAGTCAGGAACAGAAGTATTCTGTCCGACCTGCCAACGGACTAAAGACATGTGCATACCTGCAGAAGTTGCTATAAGTCCAGACGGCAGTCCTAAGCTGGCTGGGTGGTGTGGTGGGGTTGAGGAGCGGCAGTAAAGTCGGCAGGGCGCCAGCGGACAGCACTAAGTCACGCGTGGCGGCGCCGTCACCCGCAATGTTGCCCAGTGCCCAGGCGCTCTGTTCACCTACTGTGCCACCACGGGCTAGTAATCCCACTAGTTTGGGGATTGCACCACCCTGGGATAAATTTAACAATGCATGTATTAAAAGCAAGTAGAAAAAGCCAGTGTTGTGCAATATTAGCATTCAGTAGAAGCATTCATATTTTAGAATTATGTTGTTCAATGCTGGAAGCAAATGCGAAGATTGTTAACATAGCATTACTACTTTTAAGTAAGTAAAAATAATAGTAAACTATATAAATTAATAATCAGACTTAACTAGTTAAGATATGTTAGCTACTTAAGTATATAAGTTAACTTTATGTATTTAACTTACATCAACTACTGCCATGGTTTGTTCATGTGTGCCAGATGCTATATTGGTAAGTGCCCAAGCTGCCTCAAACTGTAAATCTTGACTGTAAAAAAAATTTGTTTAACATACACATTTTTATAATGAAAACAGGGAAATAAGACAACCTTACTCTTAGTTCCCATTACCAAAAGTAAAGTCAACAAACTTGCAAATTGACTGATTTTCGTCTAATGCAGTTTTATTGTGTGAAAAAGGATATGCATAAGAAAGGGGTGGATTTAGATATGATGGTTGGTCTACTACTGTAGGCACAGTATGTCCTCCTCCATTCATCTAGAGATGTGCATACCTGATCCTAGGTGAACTGAGGAGGACATACTGTGCCGACCCTCCGGATAATGGCAGGTTGATGATGAATGTCTATTTTATTACTAATATCCTACTGATATGTCTACTTTAACAAAAAATAAGTTTGTGAAACTCCACTTTGTGTTATTACCAATCATCCCTGTCAAGAGCTTCGACCAGTGGCTTGATAACTCCGGCATTCACCATGGTAGTGATGGGTGGGTTTTTCTCTTTGGAAAGGATGCGCCGCGCTGCACGCGCAGATGTCACCCTGACGGCTACATTGCTGGATTTAAGACCTAGAAACATTACCTTGATTATGAGTAATGTTTACTTACTTCTTAAAGTTATATCACAACAACATAACTTCACACCAATAGGTGGGTAATAACCCAGAGAGGTAGGCAAAGACCACAATAACCCACCTTTCTTGCTTCTTCTACATTCATACATTGCACACTGGTTTCAGGTGTTCTTATTACTGCTATATGTGACTAATCTTAAGTTGTAATAAAGTTTGTTTATATTATGTTACAATGTTTAAATATCTTTATAGAAAACACCTTACACTGTAAAGTACAAGTATATAAATACCCAGCCATGTAACAATGCCATTCAAACTTTAGACATGCTTTACTCCATCCAAATTGGACCCAACTGCGAAGACATGTATCTGAATATAACCACCAGCAGCTATAAAGTTTGAATCTTATAATACCTTGTACAATTTCTTCCGGTGTGGGCAATGGAGTGTCAGACTGTACTTCTTCACTGCCATCAGGGGATAGAGCTCTTCGCTTCAAGAGTTGATCATCCCGGGCTTGCTTCCTAAGGGTGACACTAAGTTCTGCTCTCTTACGGCGTAATTCCTGAAATTCATTTTATACTATTTACACCAAAATACGAATTGATAAGAAACGAAATAAAGCGGGTACTTTAAGATTGTGGTCTAAAAATGTTATACGGTAATGAATAATAAACATTAATTTAGCTAAAAGACTTATGTAAAGATAGTAGCTCCTTTTTTCGTCAGGATGGATATGTAGGAAAGTAAGGAATGAAACATTAGGGAGCAAGTTCCATACTATGCACCACGTATATAAATGTTATTTTTTTTTTGTAATTATTGGTTAAGATAAATTCAACTCAATTACATCTTTACTTTCAACGAAATAGGAAAACAGTTTACAAAAAATACCTCATGTGTTTAATAGTTAAGTAACTCACATTTGTTCCTTGGGCAACATTTTTGTAAGATGTAAGTCTTGACTTGTGGCTTTTATCAGTCATGTTTAAAGATATATTAATGGCAAAAGACTTTAGTTGACGTTTTGATCAATAATAAAACTGTAATTAAAGTTCTAGCACAAGTCGATGTGTTGAAGAACCTTGCAAAACCTTATTTCAAATTCAAACGAAAACGAACGAAATTCGAAAACAGTGCTGCCATTTATAAAAATTGTTGGTTACGTTTTTTTTAGTACCGAAATATTTTTCGAAAATATTGATAATTTAAGTAAATAAAAAAAGTAAATAAAGCATAACAGGAAAATTGCTAATGTTTTGCGAAATCAAATCTTTTATTATTAATACACAAAATTTTGTACAAAATTAGTTTGTGCTAAACTTTTGATGAAATCTATTTTTCAAAAGCAAAGAGTATATAAGCTTTCAAAGTTATCTGTCAGAATAATCAATTAGGTAAAAAACTACTCTTTGAAGTACCTATTGATGTTTAAATTTGAAATTGGCAAAAATTGGTTTAAAATTGAAATTTTTAAATGGACCTGCACATTTTACCACTATATTTAAAAATTAATAAATTATGTTGTGATTTGTTTAGTGCATTATTTACATAATTCTATTCAAGATTTTGGCAGTTTTTTACTTTGTAAAGTTCATACAAAGGTACATTTTTGTAAGTCGAATAGATTTGTTTTAATAACTCCAATTTAAGATTAATTTTGTCTGCATTAATTCAAAGTTATTATTAATTTTCTTAAAACAATCGACTAGATCCTAGACATTACAAGCATTTTTAGCTTAGGAATCTAGTAATAAATATGAGCAAATTAATGGCATCTAATTAAGTTTTCAGGTATTTATTTATTTGCAATTTTATTTTAAGTCGGTTTCAAATATAACGGGAAGGTACACATTTTACAATGATCACTTTATCTACATATACATTTTACGCAATTAACAAACAATCTAAAATAGAGAATCAAACCGACGACCCTGGAGGCAGAGTTGAATAGGCCAAATTTCAAATAAATTTCTAAATGCATGCTAACTTGCTTTTCGTAAGCTAAAGAGCACACCACACTTGTACGAAGTAGAGCAGACCACAGGAAGCTTATTAGACTAGATTCATTATTAATCAAACTGCAATGCGACTGCACTCTAGCATTGAATTAATGCAGTCGTGTCGAGACGAACATACGAAAAAAATAGAGAATAAAATAAGAAGTAGGAGGCGCTCTTACGACGGATATTGAGTAGTGGGACGGGCCTACATGCGCAAAGACGTATTACCCTAAATAAATTGCGCATTACACTATAATTAACCTATGCTACGACGGACACTTTCATGCGACGACCTCTCATACGAAACGATCGTAAATTAACGTTATTAAAACAAGTTTACAGACTATCATGAACATGTAATTACGCAAAACGTTACGCCGCTGGGCGTGACATCACAAATCAGTCCGGTCGGGTTGAAGATAACATGTCGATTGTCTGTCCTTGTCTAATGAAGGGGTTAGAGAGAGAGGCGACGAGTGAGCAGGCTGGCGTTGATCGTATTCTGTCGAGGGTGTCGCCATTTTCGTTTTGACGAATATTGACAGCACGGCAGACAGACAGTGGCGCGGTCGTCGACGCAGCGTCTGCTCGACTATTTTTATTTTGATTGTGATTCACATAGTGAACTGATTACATTTACTTACACGTAGTGTAACGTTTATAATAAATCAATTGTTAACTGCACATAATTTCGTGATTAGTGATCGACGATACATGAGGGACTTCGATTTTTGGTGCTAACCTCTTTTTTTACTTAGTGTTTTTTTAAGAGAACTGCAAGACTGTGATCGATATGTGCAAGATGTATTACAGATGACTCTGCGATATATTTCGTGCTTCGTTGCTTCTCTGGTAAGTAACGAACCAATTTCTTGAAAGAATAACAACAAAACCGTATTGGAAACAATAAGATATGTAGATAAAGGATTTCTGTGTAAATTCGGTGCAGTATTGTGTACGGTTGTGTATTAAATGTGCTATTTATTGTAAGAAATGGATTGTTTTTCTTTGTTGCGGTAGCTCCAGTTTGTTTACGAACTGTCACGGGCAGTACACGGCCTAAGATATATTGCCTGGGTTGGCGACTATGCGTGGTGGGAATGCGCAAGGAAATGAGTACCTTATGTTGTTGGCAGTAAAGTTGAGAATGGAGGAGCTGGGCGGGCGATAACAGCCCGTGGAATTAATTTATCACACGCCGCGCTTGACAAGTTGAAAACATAAATTCGACCTTGGCGCTCCACGTGGTTCGAAGTCGTTGAGCTTTCTTTTTTTATGATATTTGAAATGTCAACGAAAAAGTGTTGCATTTTTTTTTGCGCTTGTTTACACTTGTTCATTATCTTACGTCATTTATTACGTGTTTTGTTTCACTTAACATCCTTATTGACAATTTTTAAAAAAAATTACACTTTATGATAGTTTTTTAAAAGGCTTTTAAAGCAATTTAACATTTATTGCTACTTGCCAATTATTTACACTTAAAAGATAAATATGTTATAAAAGATATTTTATGGTAGTGTTTTTTCTTTATTTTACCAAAAATACCAAAACATATTTTGAAAATGTTTTTTCAGTGACTACTAGATTTTTTATTTATGTTTCTTTGTAGTAATGTAAAGGTTTTGATTTTATATTTAACCCAACTGAAACTACATATACTGATCAACACATTTTAAATATCTGTTTACCTTCCTCACTTAACCGTTAGGAATTTAGTAAAAATGGAAAATAGCTAGTTTTATTTATAAAAACACATTTTAAAATTTAAGTTAACTTAATTGTTACTTAAAATATACATACTAAGTTTTCCCAAAACTCTTCATAATTTTTCACCGTTGTGGGAAAGAGTTGAACCGAATGTCTTAAGGCATTACTCTGCTCTTTGTGAATACAATAAATTATTGAATATTTTCATTTTATTACTACTTTTTATGATTAAGAAATGTTATAATATTTACCAACATCCACTAAAAATATTAAGCTTTGAATCTTTCTTTTGAGCTCTTCTTTCTTGATAGCTATAGGCATAAATTATAAGATTCTATAACTAAAGCACAATTACAACATTTTGTTCTTTTTTCCTCTTATGCTTTATGAAAAAAGCACTGTAATTCTTTTTCTTGGATATCCTTTACATTTGGATATCTTCTTAGCCTTTTATCTTCCTATACTCTCCTTCTTTCTACAACTTTTTTTCTTTTTCTTACCTTGAAGCTCCATATTATCCCAAATCAACTGACCAGCAACACGTTTGATACTGATTTCGTTATTCCAAAAGTGTTGCGTCGCATCAGCATGACGTAGACTGCATAGTTTTTTGCCTTCTATTAGAAAAAATCGCACATCCTGCGAAAGCTATGAGCTACTCGTAATGTCGAAAGTGAGTCTTACCATTATAACGATTGCGACAACTGAATCGTTTATAAGGCCCGATGTATGGGCGGCGCGTTGCTTAATGGACAAAAATTATATGTATCGATGCTTTATAGGTGGTAATGTAATCGATGTGTTTTTTTTAAATAATTGTTTAATGTTGTAATTTCACTGTCGAAACACAAATATCAAACATTGTCATCACTCTCTTTCTATTTGAATATAATGGAGACAGCAATATGTTTTGGAATTTCGTTGTTGTCTTTAATTTGCGCGATAAAGTCAAGAATCTTGGGCATATTTTATAATTTATAATGAGAAAAGAACAACGACGGGTATGCGTATTTTTGTATGTTTATATTCGTAATAATATATTTAACTTCCAGTAGCAGATTTTGAAGAATGCAATCCGTTAGTTGAGTTAATTGTGAGTGTTTTTTAAATTAATTATTGCTTGTTTTAGTTGTATTATTAAAGTTTGATAAAGAAATATTCATATATTGGATAATGAACAATGTTGTAAGGGTGCGGAGTTGGCAGACGCGGTGCGAAGTTTTACACAATAGACCGCTGCCCGATCTCTACATTGTTCAGTTGCCCTTACACCCCCATCAAGATGAACAAACTTTTGTCATGCTATTTTACAAACTCGATTATTGACATAAGAAATTTTATATTTTTGAAGATACAGCAATCTCGGCAAGTTTTACTTAATATGTCTGATTAATGCTTAAATTATGAGATTCAGACTTAAACCGAAAGAAAAAACTATTCTGTCAAACCTATTGCACTTTTATGTTATTTTTCTATGGTTTCAAAATGTTAATCAATAAATTGACCCACACAAATAAATATGAATTAATCAAGTCTCTTATCATGAAGGAATTAAGACCGGAAGTTTCGCGTTAGATAAAACATAAGGCATGTTGATAATGCATACGCACAAAGGTAGCAATATAGAGATAGATGCACACTATCGAGTAATATTGTGTCGGGATACATTGACGTTCGGTTTTAAAAACATATTCCATCCCATTTACCTTAAAAATAGTAATGAACAATATGTTATTATAATTGCCTTTCGGCATTGGATCTATATCTTTTGCTTGATGAATTCGTGAAACATATTACATGCAATTGTTTCATCATGCAGCTATAAAATCTTTCTTGAAAATATTGCAGTAGAATCTAGTTGAATCGAAAAAAATCCGCTTCAAAACAGTTTGCATTGGAAATTTTATAGTTGGCAACACTAAATGGTCCCATCGAAATTCTATCCAGCGCTCAGGAACGTCTGCCACGATCGATAGCGGCCCCGATGTTGACAATACAGTGCTTTGTTTTATTTTGACATACATGTCTGGAACCGCGACTTTAACTAATAAATTTTCAATGGTTACAACTTCAAATTATAAATTAATTCGCATTATTTTCTCAAAAATAAACCCTTAAAGGACGGATTAGCATTTATCATGGCTAGACAGTATTGCCTGCTTTAAAAAAAAAATGGGAACAAATATATGAAAAGAGAGCTCATGAGAAATAAATTTGGCCATGACATCTCGATCAAGACGAAAAATAGATATAAAAGCTTCTTCACTTGGATCGAGCACATTTTTACAATATTTTCGTTACAATAATATTACTAGCTAAAACGGTTGAATGGTAAATCTTAATGCTTTTAGGCGTTATGTGTCAATGAACCTAAATCGTTTAGCGTACACAGGTGTATGTAGGGAGCAATTGATAAATGTCATACTTACACCAATTGAAAATGCGACGGCAAGTTTAAAACAATTTTTCTAAAATTATGGTAGCAAAGGCCTTTATGCATAGTAGCGTGAAAAGAAATGAATATATGTCGAGATAGTTTGATGAAGGTAAGATTCAATGAAAGTTTACTATTATAGAATTTCGATCTATCATAGTTAACATTATTAGAAATATGTAATGTTTATCTTTCTGTATTTAAGTTTATATAAGTCATAAGCAAGAAGCATACCGTAGACAAAATTATAAAATAAATTCCTAGAATATAAAGTCCAACCTTTTGTCACAGACGCAGAAAACTGAACCGAAAATTTTTACACAGCTCTGTTGCGAAAAAAGCACTTTGACAGCGAAAAAGGCGGGAACAGAGACCATTATAGACAAGTGACGCCTCGGTCGGCGATATAATTGGCGCGCGGGAGTTATGGACAGATTTTAATAACGCCACACCGCAAGTTATGGTCTGTCTTATTTATTTTTAGAAAAACAAACGCACATTCTTCGTGACTTTTAAATCGTTGGATATTTGAAATTTGTACAAATGGTAAGATAAGTTGGCATTATAGACGAAAGTAATGTTTGGGAATATTGAATGCTAAAATATACATACATAAAGGATAGACTTTTTAAGTGCCTTTTGTAAACAATGTCCAAATTAACATATTGAAACGTTTGAAACACATTTTTAGTTTCAAAATATTTTCATCAAGTTTATACGTCGAATATCGCGAAATTACTTTCTCCATTGTCCACATTTTTATAATCTGTCCGTATTTCCAGCGGCAAGACACGAAATTTTTCTAATTTCAAAGTTTGCACGCTTAAAAAGTTAAAGTTGAATTTTGAATAGGACTTTGTAGTCTAGTGTAGATCATTATTAAGATGCGACGGACGGCCATTGTGGCTGCAGAGTGACTAATGAAAAAGACCTTTGTCCAGACGTCACTGGACCGAGTCAAAGGCAAACAGAAAAGAAAATGACCAAATGTTGCATCATTAAAACGGACCACGCAAACTTGCGACAATCGAAACTTTTTTGCTCACTGTACAAACTACGAGTTTGTATGAACTGGGATTGAAGTACACTTGTGGTTGTTTTCTTTTAAAGATGGCAGACGAGAATAGTGAATTCTTTATTATGCGATACTAGTTATTGTGCTTAAATAAAATAATAAAAAAGTAATGCTGCTTATAAGGGTTGTAGAAATTTATTTTATTTCTTTGGTTGTTTTCTTCGTTAGTGGTATACCCTGGTGATAGTCCTTTTATAATAAGCAGCAAGATGTTTATTTATGCAGCAAGATTCATGTATGTCGAATGCCTGATGTAGTCTACAAATTTTCACCTTAAATTTATATCTAACAGAATCCATCTCTTTCAGATAAGTCTGATTTATCTATTCTGATTAGAATGTTCGATTTTATTTCAACTTATTGCCATAGTTTGCTCTAGGCATATTAAAAATTAAAAGAACATTGGCAACGTGGGTAGAATATAAAAGATTGCAAACGGCAAAAACACGGAGGCTGTTTTTTCCCTCCCGTCACCGGAAGCGAAGGCTCGCAGTTCCGAATTCAAATTTGAAATTGGATCGCAAGGGATGCTGACTCGACGCTCTGAGGGTAGACTTTGAGTTTTGAAATGTTTTTGTTTTCTTTTGCGGACGATTTCACTTCGCCTTTTAACCTTTGGATCAAGCGACTGTT